GGTTACGATGGTTACTCCATGACATGGGAATTATTCATTCATCTGCAACCCCTCTTTACTGTGATAATCGTAGCGCCATACAGATTGCCCACAATGATGTATTTCATGAGCGCAGTAAACATATTGAGACTGATTGTCACTTTATTCGTCATCATGTGCTCGAGGGTACTGTTTGCCTTATTCCTGTCCCTTCCCAGGTTCAATTTACAGATATATTTACCAGAGCTCACTCTCCTCTTCGCTTTCGTGCTCTAGTTGGCAAAATCCAGATGACTGATACATTACCATCTTGAGTTTGAGGGGAGATGTTAGAATATTCTATCAAAATTAGTATTCTATCATTATCTCCTTAATTGTAGGAGAGATATTTCTAATCTAATTAACTGTACATATCTTATTTCTTTCCTTTTTGTATTCTAATTTAGGTCGCCGACCTTGTTTCCTGATTGTATCCCTAGCTCTATTATAAATAGGTTGTAACCTATTGAATTCAATATCAAGACATATTATTTTCTCCATTTATCTTCTTTGTTTTTTCGTATCAGTATATTATCCATATTTCCAAAGTACTACATCTAGCTTTATATAAGTTTGAATGCATTTTCTCCCTCTTTCTTCCATGTCAAATCAGAGAAAATCTGATTAAGCAATTAAGCAGTTTCGTGAAGTCTGATTTACATTACTTAGGTAGCAAAAAGTGAACGAATATATAAGGAGTAAGGATAGATGACCTTGTGAAATGAAATAACGAATCGTTGAGCATTGCTTTAGGAAGGTGAAAAGGGAGAAAAACAGTTTTCAACCTATTCCATTGTGGTTATATTCTGTGTCCGGCGATGTTTTCTTTGGCTCAGTTTGGAAGGAATATATAGAGTGCAAAACCTTATGTTTTTCTATTAATTTATCTGCATTTGAACTGTACATATTTGTATTTCTACTGTTTGCCATTCTGATGAATTCCTCATCCTAATTTGTATGAATAGAAAAGACATTACGAAAAAAGGGTGAAAAGGATCTAACCATCTTGATGGGGAGCAAAAGAATTCAAGTCAAAATCCAGTCCGATGATCCAAAAACAGCTCATGCCTTTCTTGGTTTATTGCTTTTGTTTTCTTCCCAGAAAACCAAGAGACCAAACGGACCAACCTCTTTGCTACATGGTGGAGACATTGAGCTATGACGACCATATCAAAGGAAATGCGTAAAAACAAAATGTGTTTAGCCATTGAGGTTCCAACATGTTTTGCGCTAACAACAAACTTGGGGTTTAACTGTTGAACATCAATCTCAAGTAAAAGATTTTGATTCGATTGAGCTCGACCTTCCTGTAGAGTCACAGTTTTCGGATGTCCAATTTGGAATTTCAACCACCATTATGTATATAATGCAATAGCTATGGTTCTATGGCAATGGCAGAATCTTAAAAACCACCTGCACCTCAGTGGCCTATATGCCCACTAGCTAATCTCCAACACAGCATGTCTTTCAGTTAAACAGGCGAATGACTTCAATAGTTCAATAGCAAGTCCACTAAATATGACACATAGTAGTCTCTCAGTTAGGGGTGCAATTCAGTTGCCCCAAATTTGCATTGTTCACTATTTAAATTTTGACAAAATCCCAATTCAAACCTGTTCAAATTAAGGGGAAATGTTAGAGAATGAGAACCTATACCTAATGGCTTAAATTTATTAGTTGAATGATTCCTTGACAAGTCTATTATCCAAGGAGAGAAGTTAAACACCATCTTTTTGAATTTTGATCCAAAACTTTATATATAATTTCCTTGAATCTCTTATTTCTATTAATGTCAAAGACTTTCTTCTATACACTCACAAAGTCGCATGTGCATCCTAAACACAGTCCCATTTGGCGCTTCCTTAATTAATAAAGTTTAAAGGTACTTAAAGGTCTAGGTTTTTTTAATACCCCTAAGTTTACTCCAGTGTGACCACCTAAAAAATTTTATTAACCATTATCAATGGAAGGTAAAACAAAACACAGGGGGCCGTAGCCCGCCTTGCCCCAAAACCTAATTACAGAACACACAACCTTACCCTCTCATCTAAGGTTGATCATTTCAGCCCGGCCTGAAACTTCTGGGCTTGGGTCTGGGTTTTGTGTTTAGGCTCGGTTCAGGCCTGAGTTCAATTTAGGCCCGCAAATTTTAGGGTCGGTTTGGGCTTAATACTTTAAGCCCGGGCCGACCCGTATATATTTAAACTTATACATTTTATGTATAATGTATACATATGTATATATCTTATTTTACGTTATATTATATATAATTATTATAACATGACATATATAATTTATATCATATGTAATATTTTATATTATATAATGTATAAAGTAAGTTTATATGCATGTTATGTCATTTAATATAAAATATTATAGATATGTAATGTTTTATATATACAAGACATTGGCCCAGAATCAGGCTCGACCCGACTTAGACCTGGGCTAGGGCTTAACTTTCAGGCCTGAAACCCTTGGCCGGGCCGGGCCCGAGCCTAAGTTATAGCCCTTTTCATAAATACAAAGCCCGGTCCAATCCATGATGACCTCTACTCTCATCCCAACCCAATACAAGGTTCAAAATATAGAAAAATAAAATCCAATAAAAAAAAATCATGACCATTAACATATAGAAAGAGACAGAATCCCAAAATAGTCTTCTTTAAAAAGTAATCTTGGCTCTCTTAGAACCTCGTTAATAGAATTGTAAGCATAGTAGTTTTCTTCATTAATACCCTCATTACCCAAGAGAATATCAATCAAACATTGATCATCACTCTCGATCTCTACATCCAAAATGTTGTGAGACAAGCAAATATGAAGGCCATCATAAAGAGCATTAAATTCAGCTGTAACCTTACATACTTGATCACATAGATTGGGCATGCGTTTTTAGTTGCAATTGTACATACTAGTGTTAGGAATGTTTTACCTGTTTTAAACCCATTTATATATTTATATAGTCATCATGTTTTATTTGTAATGGTTTCGTATCAAATGCCTAAAATAGGGGATATCTAAGATTTGTTTTACCCCAAACTTTATTCGAGGTGGAGGGGAGCCACCTTAAAGATATATCAATCATTCTCAAAGGGTATGAAAAGCAATAGGGGAGCAAGAAAATTAGTAGATTTATTGTCAAAATAACCACACTAAAGGCTTGGCAAGTATAATTTATCTTCTAAATTTAAACCTCACAAACCAAATTAAATTGTAGAGACAATTTTGGGTCTTGTACTTGAAGTCAATTTTTTAATCCATTTTTGATCCAAGCGGTTCGGCCTTTTGACCCACCACCCTAAATAAGGGAGTGTTTAACCCTAAATTCACCTAAACACAAAACTTTAGGCTTAACTTTGGAAGAATAAAAGTAAAAGTATATATAAATACTAAAGTTATTCATGGGTTGGGTTGGGTCAGTTTAATGTTTTTTTTTTCAATCGATCCGACCTGGTCGGATTATTTAAAGAGAAAACCGAAACTGACCTGTCATTAAGCAAAATCGACCCAAACATGAAGGGTTGATTTGGCATTGTTTCTGAATAGCTCTAAATTTAGTTTAAAATTTCATACTCAAAAAATAAAAACAATCCTAAAGACAAAAGTAATTCCCATTTAATTAATGTTTTATTATTCTTTAGGCCCTGTTTGCTTTTTGATAAGTTATTTACCCGAGTAAATGCAATTACTTGGGTAAGCTTTTCCTAGGAAACACTTACCCGAGTAAGTGTATTTACCCATGCTCTTTTATTTCTCATGTAAATAAGGTAATGACCATTTTAGTCATAAAATCCATTATTAAAAAGGGCATTTTTGTCCCATTGGATAAGTGATATCTTGGAAAATAAACTTTACTTGATCTCCACATAAATCTGAAAAAAGAACATAGGATTCTTGGTTAATGGGAACCAAAATCCCATTGACCAACTTTCTCCCCTCTCAAAATCTGAAAAAAGAACACCCCTTTAATGTTAAAAATAAATAACTAGAAAGATGAAACTAAGATAGAGATTATCTAGTTAGGGAAAGACTAGGAAATCAGAAACTAATTAACTCGGTTTATCCCTCTTCACAACCCGAAACCGATTGATAATGAAAAAAATCCGATCAAATCAGGTTGGGTCGGCCGATTTGATCGGTTTAACATTATTTGTGAACATCCCTAATAAATACAAGATTTAAAATACTGTATATAAGTTGGGAAGAGTGCAAATATGAATTTTTTATTTCTAAACCTTGTATTTGCAATTGCACTTTTCTCAAATTGAGTATTATTGATCAACTAATGCTAAGGTGGTGTTCTACACCATGAATATTTTTGGTTTGAGAATCGAATGTCAGTTTTGTTTAAAAAAGTACCTATGGTTTCCAAAACAAAAACAAAATTTTAAAAAAGTATCCATGGGACTGGGATTGTGGGGGGATGGATGCAGTTCAGATCTACTCTGGGCGAGAAGGCCCATAACCAGAACCAACGAAACAATTTTTTTTTTGGAGGCAAGGGTAATTTGGTAAACTTGAAAGCTTGATTCTTGGCCTTCTTTGGCACCGATGTGTATTGATTATAGATGTAGGTAGACAGAGAGAGATACACATTATCTGTAAGCCCTTATTGATTGATGGATACTAGTGTGATGAATCCGTACTCATTTACCGGTAGCGTAGCCATACCAACCAAACACGGAGTAAGTAAATAAAAGGTGGAAAGGGACCCAAGATAACTCTGATAACCTAACACCTATCACTTAACTTGGGTAAAACGTAAAAACAAAATCAAAAGAAGGGACTAAGACCAAGAACTGATCGACAGATGAAGAAGAACAAGGAGGAAAAAGAAAAAAAAAAAAAAACAATTGTTTCCGTCGTTTAAATAAAGTCTAGGGGTTCTTTTGTCAATTTATTCGATTTGTGAAAAAAGAAAGCAAAAACAGAGAAGCAATCAAGTCGGTTTGTGGGGGCGTGAGAGAGAGAGAGAGGGTATAGAAATCGAGAAAGAAAGAAAAGAAAGACAGAGAAAGAGGGAAGAAGAGTTTTATTTTGTTAAGAGGGGTGGAGGCCAGATTTCTAGGCACCGATTTCCCCCCTCTTCCCTCCTCCCTCCTCCCTCCTTCCACTCTCCTTTCCCTTTTTTTCCCCTCTTCCTTCCTCTCTAAACCCACTACCCACTTCCTTCCCCGTAGAGGTGCAAATCCAATCCAGCCTTTTCCTTCTTTCCTTCTTTCCTTTGCTCTTCTTGTTTCTTCCCTCTTCTCCTTCTCTCTCTCTCTCTTTTCTTCTTCTCTTGAATCATCTGTTTGAATTTTACTCGGGTTGTTTTTGTTGTATTTCTCCTGTGTCTTCTTGCCGAGGCCATGCGGAGAGGGAGAGGAACCACGGCGGCAACGGCAGCTGCGGCGAACATCGCATCAGGATCGGGATCAAGGAACCTCACGAAAGAGATCAGATTTAGAGGTGTACGGAAGAGACCTTGGGGTAGATTCGCTGCCGAGATTAGGGACCCTTTGAAGAAAACTCGTGTATGGCTTGGCACTTTCGATTCCGCTGAAGACGCCGCTCGAGCCTACGACGCCGCCGCCCGGAACCTCCGTGGCCCCAAGGCCAAGACCAATTTCCCGCTATCCTCTACTCCCTCGTATCCTCAGCACCACCACCAGCATCAGCATCATTATCATCATCTGGGTTTCCAACAAAGCCCTAACGATCCCCATTACAACCCCCAATTGCACCCCCACCAACATCATCAGCCTCAGAGACCCACCTCCAGCAGTCTTAGCAGCACCGTCGAGTCCTTCAGCGGCCCTAGGCTCTCCTCTGCGGGGCCCGTGGTTCAGTCCTCTGTTGCACCCGGGCGCCACCGTCGGCAACACCACCCTCCGCCCCCGCCTGTCCTTCCGGATGATTGCCACAGCGATTGTGACTCGTCTTCTTCGGTTATAGATGATGGGGATATCGTCTCGTCGTCGTTCCGTAAACCGTTGCCGTTCGACCTCAATCTCCCTCCATTGGATGAAGTCGACTTCGCGGGTGATGATTTCCAGAGCACGGTCTTATGCCTCTGATGCCAACCTTGGCTTTGATTTTTTTTTTCTCTTTCCCTTTTTTTTACCTTTCATTCGGAAAGAAGAAGATAAGCTAGGATGATAATCGTATTTCTTCCATGAATTGCTCGTTTGCTTTTGAGGGTTGAGGAGAGTTGGGGTTTTTTTCTTTTTCTTTTCCGGTTTCTGTTAGATTATTATATGTGGATTAGTGTATGTTCTTATGCGATCTGGGGGTTTCTTCAACTACATGGGCTTAATAATCTAGTCTATCTTGTTGAAGTTATAAAGATCGTACCAGAGGATCGGGTCTAGGTTGGGTTTTCTTCCTCCTGATCTGATGATACCTCTCACCACCATCCCTTCCCCCCACCCCCAACTTTTCTTTCTGTACAAAGATATCTAATTCAATGATCAAGAAAGAGAATTAAGAGCTATATTCTGTGCCTCTTTTTTGCTCTTCTGTTCTTTCCTTCTTTTTCCGATTCATGTGGCATTGAAATGTTGTGGTTGTTTTTGGGTCCAAAGAAATGAGAAAAACTAGCATACCGTGTGGAAATCATCAGTTGGAACTTGGAAGAGCATTGGTGGGGTGTTTCCTTGTTTTGAATTTCTGGGTTCTCTGTATTCGGTTAGGTGAGTGAATTTGTCAACCACATTGCTTGCTTTCATTCATCTTTTCAGGCTGTGATTAATCTAGAAATCATGGTTGAGCGTGTATTTGGATCCAAAATTATCCATCTTTGATCAAGTAGTAAAGTGGCCATTCAGGGGTGTCAAATATAGAGTCGCTATACGTGGTTGAAGGTGGAGTTGCATGATCTGGAGTATCAGGGCATTGCTTAACAAACCATCACTCATGTTGATCTGGGCTTCTCTTTTTCTGGACGAACAAACCATTAATTGCTGCATGTGATGCAAATTCCTCATGTTTCCTTTCTTTCCCTTTTTTATGTGTCAAGTGCTGAGAGCCGGAACCAGTTAGGTCTGAGTTGTTATTGTATGTCTTGCCACTTTCTTCTCTTCTTTTGGTTCTATGCATTTTGCTTTCAAGCATTTTGAAGCTAATATTGGGTTGGTTTGTGGCTGTGGGAAAATTGGATTTTCTTTTTCTGGGGTGGGGGAAAGAGATTAGGAGAACCTCTCCTCTTTTTCCAACATCGAATAGGCACTATAGTCCTTGTAGGAAATCATTTAACCAGAGCTACTACAGTTGTCTAATGGTTCTAGTAAATTATTTATCTTCTTATGATGGATGTTTCATGCTTGAACGCCACTCACAAGGGCATTTAAGCTTCACATGGGCACGGTGCCTTCCTCTGTAATCGATTTAAAGAAAAGCTGGAAACGGAAGACGGGTAGAGTAGAGAGAGAGAGAGAGGAACCGAAAGGACCTGGTATGTACTTTTATTCTGACAACTGGAAACGGATGGTGAGCCATGGAAAATGGCAACGAAATCCTTCATTCCACGAAGGTTCCAAACGTTTTTCGAGTCTTGACCCATGTCTAGTTGTCGCCCATGGGTTCACAGGCCCAACAAAATTCTAGCGAAGCTCAAGCTCAAACCGATGAGTGCTTCTTTCTCTGGCAGGTAGAGGTAGTCCATTTCACGGTCCCTTGCTAAGATAAGATCAACGGTGGTGTGCTACTACTTACTGCTCCATGAGATTGGACCGACGTTGAACTTTGCATTTTTAAGTGGGTTGAATTGAAAGTCTTTAAGTCATTGGGGAGAGTGGATGTGACGGATGCCCTTTTGATGGAATTTGGACGCCCTATCTCTTAACTCCCAAGCAATAAGATGTAACACTAAAACAAAGAGCCTAACTTCTCGACAAAATTGCCGACCTCAAATAGTTGTGTGGCTCTGTGGAATTTGAGTCTCCTTTTCAACAAAACCAAATTGTCTATTTGGTTCTGCTGAATTGAGTCTAGCTCTTTAACAAAACCAAATTATGTGGTTGGTGTGTGCACGATCCAAAAAACAAAAAAAAATTGCTCTTCTGCTAAACATCAATAACACAAGTGTCGATGACGCTATAGTTGATGATTAATCATCATCCTTTCAAAATAGGAGCCACGGGATCAAATCCTCCAAATTGCAAGCTCTCCGTGGTATGTGTAGTGGTCCTCACATGCACCATGGTGTTCTCACGGACCTCACCTTACCCCTCATTTCCCTGCAATGCAAACTATGTATTAAAAGAAAAAAAAACAATAATACAAATTGGGTATGATCAATTATATTATATTCAAAGTTTTGATACATATTGTTGTCTACTGTATGATGGGTATTGATTTTTGAACTAAAAATTTGGGAGGTAGTACATGTGGCAACTTTTCACGGATTATATCTTTTCTAGAGATGTCCTGATTGAATTCTTAAAAAATTTCAATCACAGCATATTGTTTTTATGGAATGCCCAAAGGCCAAAATACATGTATCTATACTTTGAACCTTGTGTTGTATTCCTCATTAAGGCTGTGTTTGGTTGTAATGCAAATTTATTTATATTAATACAAATGCATGGGAGTGCAAATGTAAAAAATATAAATTCTTGTTTAATTTTGTTTTGGATAATTGGATTTTACATTATTCTGCTTCATGTCTTAATTTACCTTATTTATGCTGCAATGAAACAAAATACACTAAAATTTGAAACAAAAATAAGTCAGAATTTACAATCAAATCATTTGCACTGTCATGGTTTTGTGTCAATGCAAATTTATTTTTATTACAACCAAACACAGTCTAAAGGAAAAATTGGGGTGTATCCCTTAATGAACAAGGGAAAATAGTATACTTAATAGAATAAAAAAAAGAGAAAAAACACACCACTCAATGATTTTTCTTAGTGGAAATTGTATATCTTTTTTCAATGGGTGCATGCATGATGCACCACATAACGTGCGTAAATCACACCCATTTGGATGATGTCTTAATTTATCTTGAAGTTAAAGAAATAATTAGAGTTAAAAAGTCAGAATTAGTAATTAGTTAAAGATGCTGGTTTAGAAAGAAAATGTTGTGGGTTGCGTAATACCAATATCAAATGGCTGCTTCTAGGGTCGGTCTTGAATCCTTTGATCGCTGGGAATGATATCTCCACCTTCTTCCTTCGGTCCTTCCTATTCACTAACAGAATTTGCTCCCATGAGCTGACTCACAGTCGTGGAGGGATTAGTGGTTGAGAGAAAGTACAAATAATCAAACAGAAGAATGAGTGGATTCCAGGCAGAACATTTCTTTGTGTGTGTGTGGAAGGGAATATCCTCTCTCTTTAATATATTCAACTTTCTTTGTTTTAAAAAGTATACCAGAGGATAAAAAATCCCCTCTTAGCATACCATACAGTGGACTTGCGACCTATTTAGCAAAAAATACTTATTGTGTAGTTGAAAAAGAATGGCTACAGTTTGTGGAAATTTCAACACAGTGACAGAATATAGAATTGTCGATGGGCTATGTCTGGTTTGGGTCAGGTCAGACTGAATACCTAACTGATAAATAAATATGCAGAACCGGTCCTGAACCAAACCCAGAACTTATCTAATTATCAATCGGGAGTGTTGGTTTAATTTGATAAGACCTGTTGGTGAATAAGTCATTAACCAGCTTGTGATCTCTTTAATGGGTTGATCAATACAAATTAGTATACAATGCTATAGGAGGGTGTTTGTAGGAAGGTTCAAAATATTGATACAGTCCGATATGCCGGTAGGGTTATATGGGACTGTATCGGGGCTGGTTCTCTTATTTTATTTAACATTTTAAATCTGGTTCAGAGGTAGGGGTATATATATTATTAATTTTTTAAATATCAAATGAAAAATATTTTTTATATATAATTTTTTATTTTTATAAAATATATATATTTTTTAAATCGAGTTCGAGTCGAATTGATCTCGAGCTTAACAGTTTTTTACTCAAACTGAGTTCGAGCTCAAACCGAGCTCAGCCATGTATTACCTTGGCGAGCTGAGCTTGAGCCTCATATTATTCGGCTTGGCTCGAATCCACCCCTATTCAAAGGGATCGGTTTAAGGCCTGTCTATCCCTGAATCGAATTAAACCTCAAAACAACCTTTATAGGGATGTATTGAAAGCCCCCAATACGATACATATCAAAACTTTGAACCTTGATTTGTAGAAATATCAAATTAGTGTTTTGAGTAGAAACAGAAATGGTACCAGCACCAAACACAGACCTATACGGTTATTTTATTCAGTAAAAGAAAAAGTAGTAAGTCATTTAGTTCAGCCAAGTAATTCAGCCTATAGCATCCATTTAACCTGCCTTAATTTATGGTTGCCATCAAGTGAAAAGAGAACTTTGTCTCATTCGATGGCTTTCAAACATTACCCCTACCTCGTGTTATGGAACAAGTTATTCATCATAACATCCTGCACGCAAAAACAAATTATTGGCTATCGAGAGAGAGAGACTTGATTAGTGGACACGGTACCAATAACTTGCCACCTGTCTCATATTTCATTCCACTATTATATGGGACCCAACTAGAGATCAACCTTGAGGATCCAGGAACCTTCCAGCACTCAAGGTTTTTAAAATCGGATTAGACACGGAATCGTTTTGAGTTCGATTTCTGGGTTGAACGGTCTCACTGTCCAGTTCAAATGGACGGTTTGATTTGACAAAAAATTAAAAAAGAAAAAAAAGAAAACAAAAAAATGGCGAAAAACTGTTACCTGGATGGACAGTTCAATTATTCAGGTCAATGGTTTATTAACCAAATTAATAATTTTTTTACCAAAAGGCAATTTTAGGGTGAAACAGTGATCAATTCCCAATTTTTCCAATCCAATCATCCAGTCCGATTCAATTTTGAAATCATTGCTTATTCTAGTTTAGTTTAGCCAATTGGAGGGAACCTGTGGCCAGTTCATATTGTTCATCAGAAGTTGTCATTTGTTGGGTCTAGCAGTCTATATTAGTCCTTGCCCACATAAAAGGGGTTTATTAAGGCACATTGAAAAGTCTTTTCAGTTGGAAATTTTGTGTGAAAATAAACTCAAAGGGGAAGACAATGAACCTTTTTGAGATAAATCAACTTGCCACATTGAATTTTTTTGGGTTGTTAAACTTAAAAGTATCATATAGCAGGCCATTATTCAATGTTGGTTCCAGGCTCCCAACTATATGGGGTCTTAAGGGGGTACACCGGATAAAGTCTTAACCTTTAGTTTTATTATTTATTTATTTTCTACGAAGCTGCCACTCTCAAACCCACATTTTCATGTCCCTCACCCTGAGATTTTACATTATATCAAATAATGATCCTTAAATGAAAAATTTGATACTGAAAAGACATGGTATCAGAAAAGTTTTGATCAATCAAAATTTATGAATTTTGACAAATACCATCTGATTGATTAATACATTTATAATATCAGTTGATTGATCACAATTTTTTTTGGATATGATGTCTTTTCCATAGATAGTCAACCC